TTTAAAAAACGAACAACTTCAGTCAATTCAACAAACCGCATCCCTTTATAGTTAAAAAATTCTGAATTAAAGGGAAGCAAGAGTTAAACAATTGAAATATTTTGTTCTCCAGTCTGATCAACCTACTCCTGAGTGTCAAATACCAGTTGCTCCATTGCTTTACTCTCTTTAAATGTTTCCCCCCTGTACTGGAAATTTCACATTTTAGTGTGAGCCTAAGCATTTGTTGGGAGGTGTGGGTTGTTTAAGAGCTGAATGTTAATCTATTGGGACTTATTTATCTTACTGTGGCTAGTAAGTGATAATACGTAAGTAAGAGTACTAGTCTCAGAGACAGGGTTTCAAAGCAGTAGAAAAAATAATAATTAACGAGGAGACTGCTCAGTTTCTTTGGCTTGATGGAGCAGTGCTTAGTGCATCTAATAGGAATGGATAAAAGTGTGTATGCGTGGGGAGGGGGATGTTCAGTAGCAGAACATGGAGAAATTTGTCAAAATATTTGCTGAATACTATTTAGTCAGCCCTAATATTTAGAGAGAGAAATGATTAGAATGCTTTTAGAATGATAGATTTTGGCACTATCACAAATCCGTAGCAGGAAACAAATTAGCATAAAGTACAATCTTCAAGATGCCCCCATAAGCTTACCATACCAAATTCTGTCCTCCCCTCCCCATCTGTGCAACATCAGTTGAAGATGCATAGGTGTAACTCAGGGATAAACTGTCCCCCTGTGTACAGCACTCACCATCATTTTATGAACAAGGCTATGCAGTGCTTGAAAAGATTCAAAATACAATAAGACAGACAATTCATAACTTAAAACATATGAATTACAACTAGGAAAACTTTCTAAAGTATCAATAAGAACTACAAAAACACTGCATGGTTAAGAGGAGCTTTTAGCTGAGGAATATAAAATCTTAAATGGCACAGATAACGTCAATCTGAGTTACCGTTTTCAGAATGACACAGATGTTAGGATAAGGAAGCATAAATGGAAATTAAAGAGAAACAAATTCAGAACAGATGTCAGGAAGCATTTTTTTCATGCAGAGAATCACAAATGTGTGGAATGGCCTACCAGGCAAGATTGTTAAGGCAAAAGCACAGGGGACATTCAAGAAATGATCAGATGGCATCATAGGGGAATTGAGTAGTAAAAAAGGAAATGAGCATGCATGAGGCAAATGGCTTTAATTTAATCCAAACAATGTCCATGTTCTTATGTTATTAATGCTTATATACTTACCTTGGCTAAACACAAAGAATTCCTTCATTTAAAAATAGTTCTCCATTCAGAAAATTGCCACTTTTTAATATAAACAAAATTAATACCTATAGGAAGAAAGTTATTTTTTCCCATTACAGACTTTAACAAGTTTACTAAAAATTACATAAATAAATGTTCAGATCAATATGCATCATAATCATTTTCTCTTCTGGTACAGATTTCCCCACGGATAGGCAGCGCGTATAACACATCTAGCCGTGGGACAACTTATTATGGTTCACCCATTAAAGATATATTTTTCAGTAATGGCTTCTTGTTCACTCTATATATTTACATGTCAATAAAAGACCCATGGATAGCCTGCAGCAGAGAGCTTGGGCTATGAAGCTATAGACACTGTAATGTAGACATACAAGCTGTGGCTTTGAGACCCTGTAAGAGGGGAGAATCTCAAAGCCTTTACTCCTGTGTGAGATGATGGCTATGTCTACATTGGCAAGATTTTGCGCAAATACTTTTAATGCAAGAGTTTTTGCGTTAAAATATTTGCACAAGAGAGTGTCTACACTGGCATGTGCTTTTGCACAAGAGATGTGCTTTTGTGCAAAAGCATCCATGCCAGTGTAGACGCTCTCTTGCGCAAGAAAGCTTCAATGGCCATTTTAGCCATCAGGCATTCTTGCGTATGAAATTCATGTTGCCTGTCTACACTAGACTCTTGCGCAAGAACACGTGCGCAAGAAGGCTTATTTCTGAGCAGGAGCATCATATTTCTTGTGCAAGAAGCATCGATTTCTTACATTAGAATGTCAGTGTTCTTGTGCAAGAACTAGCGGCCAGTGTAGACAGGCGGCAAGTTTTTGCGCAAAAGCAGTTGCTTTGGCGCAAAATCTTGCCAATGTAGACGTAGCCTTAGGGTATGTCTACACTGCAAGCTTATTTTGGAAAAAGCTATTCTGGAAGATATCTTCCAGAATAGCTTATTTCAAAATAGAGTGTCAGCACCACAGGGAAGCCTCAAAATTAGTCCGAGGCAGGCTCCCCTAATGTGGACACTGGAACTGGAGGGGATCTCAATTTAGAGCCCCAGGAGACACTGGAGAGGAGCTATTTCAACATAGCAACAGTGGAGAATCCATACACATCCAAAAGAGCTTTTTCAGAAGAGGCATTATTCCTTGTGGAATGAGGTATACAGGCAGTCCCCGAGTTACGTACAAGATAGGGACTGTAGGTTTGTTCTTAAGTTGAATTTGTATGTAAGTCGGATCCGGTACATATTGTAGGGGAAACTCTAGCCAAACATTTCTCCAGAGCTCAGTTTTATTCTCTCTCACCTCACTTCCCTCAGTCCTTTATTCTCAAGCTGAGGTGTCTGCTGAGAAAAGCCCGCTAGCTTCGCGTCTCCATGGTCTGCTGGGGGGAAGCAGCTAGTGCGGGGTTGCCTCACCCCGTTTGTAAGTAGGGATCCGATGTAAGTCGGATCCATGTAACCCGGGGACTGCCTGTACCAATGTCAGAAAAAGCTCCCTGTTATTTCAATTTTCTTTCAAAATAATGAAATTGATGTGTGGATGCTGGTATTGTTTTTCCAGAAGATGGGCTGTTATTCTGGAAAAACAATACAGTGTGGATGCACCCTAAATGTCTACACTGCAGTTTTATCATCCTGCAGCTTGATCCCCATGAGGCTCTGAGACTTGGTGTTGCTGGGTTTATTTTATTGCATTCTAGACATAGCTACTGTGTTCACTTAAGCCAATTAGTTGTTCTATTTCCATACACTGTAAGGAGTTGGGGCCAAAGAGATGTATTGTACTTTAAATCCTGCGTGAGAGTAATGTTCAATATGCCTAAAACCCCAATCCGGCAGATAAAAATAACAGGCAATCTTAATGGCCAAATAACTTTGGAAGCTTTTGGAGCTTCTGTGAACAGCTGTTTTGCTTATTTTCAGACAGAAATGATTAAAAAAAAAAAAACTCAGAAAACTAGATATGTCTCATCCATAAACCCAAATTGATGTTCTGGATCTGGGCAGGGAATTAATCTTTCATTTCAAACCTCTCTTCCCTGGCCTGAATCAAACATCAAAACTATACCCTTATCAATCTGGAAAGGTCTGAGTCCCCCAGGCCTAGGAATTCCAATATGGGGTTTATATTTGACCCATTATAAGAGGTTCACTCAGCACAAGTGAGGAGCAGAAAAAAGAAAATGAATCCAAACCAACTTTCTGTTCTTTTGACTGTGGGTCAGCTGGGAGCAGAAATGAATGACTTATAGCAGCTCTGTGACTACCCTTAGTTATATTACCCACGGTAGTCAAGGATCATGTGGAATACACTACACACTGCCTGTTGCTCTTCTGCCCCCTGCAATGCTCACCACCTCTCTCCTCCTGACACACCCATGGTACAAGGGCAATTCTTGATTGCCTACTAAGGGTAGCATTTGGGCTGCTTCATGCTGCTTAAGTAGCAGAAAGCAGCTGGGATCAAGAGTGTACCCATATATTTAAATTTAAGTGGAGTTATTCTAATTTATAATAGCTGAGGAATAGTCCCAAAGAGGTTGGATCTCGATTATAGATCTAAGGTTCCAGGCACAGATTCTGCTACAATAGTTTAAAAAACAAATCCTGTTAATAGGTGATGAAAAATATGGGGAGTGGGGTGTCTTGGAGATGTCTGAGAACTGTGGACCAGAAACACAGTTGCCCTATTGATGTCAGTGGCACTGCAGAGTAAGTAAAAGGCTAGCTGTAATTACATGTTCTGTCTTAACATTATCACTTGGGTTATCAGGATTTTAATTCTGCAGACACAGAAATGTAATGGGATCAACCTGGTGGATAATTTAGTTGATGCCTTCCAGTTTATATCAGTCTGTAGTCCCTGACTTGTAAAGTAAATTAATCAATTAAACATTGATTTTATGTACCATTTCCCTTTAAGCTGTTCTTAAATAATGTTCGATCAGTGTGTATTTAAAATCTCTGCCATTTAAACAAATCATCACCTAGTCCCTTAGATACAGACACCAAGAACTAAACAATACAGCATTAACTTATCTGTTGTAGGCTGAAAACGCTGTCTAGGCTAATCTTCTTAAATGTGCTTTTGACACATAAAACCAGTTCACTAAGTGACATATCAAGAAATTCAATAGCAGAATGGGCTTAAAGATTGTCAAAAATTATATGTAAATCTCATAGGAGAAGAGCCATAAGAAAACCAAATAATAGTACCATGAGTTATTTTTGTGCGATCTGGATTTCTAATCATTACCTCATGTTTATATTCCTGTTGCCACTGTACATGTTTGAAAATTGTATTTAAATTTGGTTTTCACTGTCTGAGACTGAACACTACAGGGGACCATAACCATATTTTCTTAATTATATTATTCTCATCTAATTGACACATATGTAGTACAGAGTAGGTGTACTTTGGAAGGAGGATAAAGACACATCCCCACTCCAAGGAACTTTGGCTGGGACTGGCAGAGGCCTAAAAGGGTTATGTAGCAAATTCCGATTGATTTTCAATAAGACATGGGCACTTAATTTCCTTAGTGACCTTTGAAAATCCTAGCACCACAGCCTTGCAAGCCCTTTACACAGTACTCATTAACTCTGAGCTTATACTCACAGTATAAACTTGGTAATGTTTGTACAATTGGGTCCTAATATTATATACAACATGATGTGAGGCAAATAAACTGTTCAGACAAATGTAATAATGAATTTATTTTAAATGGTCATTTTATTGTATTTGACTATTTTTAATTGCCACAAAAGCAATTAACTATGAAACAATGATTTTACAAAATGTTCTGATACTTTGGGGAGCTGATATAGGTTTCTGTCACTCCCTACCCTGTAAGCCAGGGATCCTTAATGTCTCACAGCTATGGTTCAATATCCTAACAATAGTAGCCAAACCTCAACACAAGCCTAAGTATTAGAGTCCTGAAAATCTGCAGCTATCCGCTATCTGTGGGTATCCACATCCACAGATGTAGATGCTGATATCTGCAGCTCATTTCTGAGATGTAGATGTGGATACAGATTTTGTATCTAGAATCCTGCAATCCTGAAAATCTGTAGATATCTGCTTTATATCCACATCTGTTTTTGTATCTGTGCAGAGCTCTACTAATTACTCCTTGTAGGGTGACACCAGTAGTCCTTCCAATCCTGAGTCTCCTCTGAATTCGCAAGTACCAGATGTTTGGACCATTCTGCTCTGGTTTATCACCCTTGAAGATGTACCAGTTCTTTTTGGCACATACACATAGGTCACAGAGTTTTCATACCAAGAGACCTGCTAGGGATCAAAATAAAAAAAATTATTTAATAAAACTCAAAGATGAAGTAGGAGGGAAAAGAAAACATGAGTTACATAGAAAACAAACAAAAAGACAGTCTCAGGCTTTCCACTTTTGTGTTTGCTAATATAAGTTACACATTGCCTTTGAACAGCCTCCCCTCAGCAATGAGATGGGTGGGAGCCCATGTTCATGGACAGCTTCATGCCTAGAGTTCTGGTGGCATGACGACTCCTACTTGGTCTCAGCATTGGCCCACTAACTCTGTTCCTGTGGTGGAGAATGAATGGGTCCTGAGAACCTTTTCATGTAAACACTTGGTTTGGAAGGAGTCCCCGTCTGCTGTGAGCCATAGTTGAAGTTGTAGTACAGGTCAGCGTTCCCTCTAAGCTGCGCGGCAGCCCAGCTTCATAGGTGCTTAATCAGCCCCATCAAGTAAGAGACTCAGGGCTCCCTGCATGGCGTTGACTGACTGGGCGGGGCTGATTAAGCACCTGTGAAGTTGTGCTGCACACAGTTTGGAGGGAACACTGGTACAGGTTATGAGCACAGTTTTCTATATACAAAATGACTAGATTCTTAGTCACAGTTAATAATAAATATATCCATCTAAATGATTGAGTTTAAAAAAAAGCTTTCATAAAATACCTTGCTCAGTATACTTGTATAGTATAATAATACAATTTGCAATCAGTTGGCTCATTTGCTCATTTTCAGAGTTTAAACTATCTGTTCTCTGCCTGATGTGTAGATGTGGACTAGGTTATTTAGAAATAATGCTAGTTATTTCGAAAGAATGTTGCTGTGTAGATGTACCTTGTAAAATTACAACTCAATGAGACAGGTGGACACAACCCCATTTTCACTTGCATTGGAGGAACCTCAACTCTTCTAGCTCTGTTAACTGATGTCTACCATTTCAAATACAAAATAAAATAAACTTATTTTGGTACCCACATATTTTAAATTGTATGGATATTATTCCATCAGCATTGTGCTCTCCTGTTATTTATTGCTGTATTAAATTGTGCACTATTGAAGATATCCAGTTTATAATGAGATATCTGAAGATTTATTTTGGCAAAAATATTAGCTTTATTATTTATTCATTCTAGCAGTATTCCTTAGTGTACACTCTATAAATATTAACATATCTGATGTCTTGCAAAGATACGTTGAAAATAATAGCATTATGTGTGATGTATGGTGAAAATTTGACATCTCATTTTTATGTGGCTGATCTTCTATAGCTTATAATATCAAAGAGCTCAATTAATTAGCAGCTCATGTCAGAGAAACTAATGAAAGTAGTGCTAATGTAGGGAGATTTGTAGACTTCCATTTGTATTTAAACAGCACTGTTTATCTAGGAACATTATCACAGTGGTGTTAAATAGGAAAAATAGATTTTATTCTTTCATATAAGCATAAGTTAATTACAAAATTATGTTTAAAGTAAACATTGCATAACAAATATTGTAAATCAGTGTACAGAAATATGGTTTGTGGAAGCACTGGGGGCCCTGTAACACAATGAGCTCACTGCAGATCTGCACTTGTTCCCTTAGAACTGTCAATACTGTTTTGTCCTTGTTATAGGGTGGCTGGCCCTATTAAGGGAAGAGAGCTTCTCCAACTCTCTGAGACTGACTGTTTGACTGTCTTGTCCTACTTCCCTGCCCAGTGGAGGCCTGGTAAAGGAGTTGGGACTAGAAAGGGTATCTTAATCCTATTAGTTCCATGATGCTACCTCTTGAGAAGGGAGCGTGTCGGGCAGGTGGAATGAAAAGGAGAGAAAGCCGTAGAAATGACTAGATCTCAGGGTTCTCCTCACTGTTAGAGAGGGAGAACTCGCTAAGGCTGACTAAGCTCAGCGAGACAAGGTCTGGGCAAAGAACAGGCCAGGACTAGCAGAAGATGACATTTTTTATGTAGTGGGCCTGAGGGAGTGATGGAGAATAAAATAAGCGGCTGGAGCAAACTAAGCTTGAAACCTGCTGGGACAGAAGATACTGAGGATTGTAGTACCTGATTTATTTACTTTTTGAGCAACCTCCGGGGAGGGCCCTAAGGGTCTCTGCTTTAGGAAGAGACGTGAAAGATGCAGTCATGGCATATTTGTTTTTGTACTCAGATTTTGGGATTCTAATGTGACACTGTATGTACCTTGGCTGGGGGGACTAGTCACTAAAAGAAACAGGCCACGATTGAGCCCAGATGACCAACCAACTGAGGTAAAGGCCCAGCCTTAGACCCTGCAACTCCCAGGAAATGGGGATGGGCCAGCTAATGAGTCACGCTTCTAACAGCCTGCATATTCTTGAGTCTAAGGCCTATAAAGTAATAGCACTACCAAGATCTATTGCCCTTCTTACAAATAAGCCTACCATCACTTGTTTTCCATGGATTTAATCATTTCCAGCCACACACTATAACCATACAGCGTTTGAGGTCAATTGCAGGGCTAGAATTCGAAGTGGTTGAATAGAAGACAGTTAACATTTGTGCTAAAATAGTGTCTAGATTGGCTATCCTATTACTGGAGTGGTTATGGCTGGGATAGCCCATATTTCTCAACGTATGTGATCAAGTTGGACATTCCATCAACAGAAAGTTATATTGAAAACAGAGAGTGTTTGCCTTTACTAGTTAACATTTATCAGTGTTAACCACGTAACTATTACTGTTACCATTGCCCTCTCTCTCATCTTACCTCCTATTGTTTGTTGCACCCTCTTGTTGCACCTGGTCTAAATTTGATTGTAAACTCCTTGTTTTAACAATATTTCCTTAAATTCTGTTATGCGCTTTGAGATAAAGAACTTTGGCCTTGCTAAGAATACAATGGAGTCCTTTTTGTTCTTGTGCCTCTTAAGTGTGCAGTGTAGATGTATCCTATTTCAAAATAAGCTATTCTGGAATAGTTATTCTGAAATAGCTGATTTCAAAATAGCACGTCTATACTGTAGGGAAGCCACAAAATTAGTCCAAGGCAGGCTTCCCTAATGTAGATGTGCTATCTTGATTTAGAGCCCCAGGAGGCATTGGGAAGGAATAACTCAGAATGGCCCCAGTGAGAGGCTATTTCAAAAGCAGCAGTGGAGCATCTACACAAGCCTTATTTCAAAATAGCTATTTTGGAATAGGCATTATTCCTCATAGAATGAGGCTTACAGATTTTGGAATAAGCCGTCCATTATTTCAAAATTATTTCAGAAGAATGGAAAGGCTGTGTAGACGCTCACATTGTTATTTTGAAATAACATTAGTCATCTAGAAATAATGGTGCAATGTAGATGCACCTTTATATGTAAGTTGGATTATATACTGTGCTACCTTTGTAAGTGCTGCCTGTCGAGATAAATCCACAACCTATTGGTTGGCATTTGTTCCAGATTCCCCCTCTACTGGAGGACTTAATCTGGCAGGTAAACACGTCTTGAAAATATTATTTTAGTATGCCTGAGCAGAGAAAAGATAAGTATGTCTGAGGGGAAAGATATGTGCATCCCTAGATTTGCTGCTTGGTTTTTACCGAGCATGCTCACATGGACTGAGCATGCTCAATAACATTGCAGAAGCTGGCACCCTCACTCTGCTCCACACCCCCCTGTCCCTCTGACCTTGGTGGGTACTTTAAATGATTTCATGTTTTCTTATCTTTACCACCAGTACCTGCTTAGAATAAAGTGTTAGAGTTTGAAATGCTCTGACAAATGCATATTTAACAGAAACAATTAAATACAATAAGTGTTACTTGTAAGATTAATTGTGCTTTGTACTTGTGATTTTATCAACCTTCCAACATACCAACCGTTGAATAGGCTAGCACAGTATGTGACACCCCATCTGATCTCTTCTATCTCTGATATAGAATATGGAAGTGCACTGGAACTCTCACTTTCAGCAAGGTCTTCTAAGCAGGTCTGGAGCTGTAAGGGAGGCATGACTATCACACTCGCCCTAAGATTTATAGTACATCAGGAGTCATTAGTGCCAGTTGAGAACTACACTGGAGTAACCTTGCCTGGTAGATTGGGGTGACACTACTTAACTAAAGTTGTGACCTTTGCATTTAACCCTACTCTGGTGTCTATATCTCATAGTTTGTGTTCACATCAATATCTACAGAGCTATGCAGACAAATAGAAACGTCCCCTATACTACAAAACACTACAGGAAGGAGGCAAATATCTTGCTCTTTTCCTATAATCTTGGAATTGCAAATAACCCAATGTCAGCAACATATTTATTACCCCCAAACAGAAAATAATTGAATTAAGATATTGTATAAACACAGACCTGAATACTAAATCAACAACAAAAACTAATTGGATGACTACAGCGTGCTTTAGGTAGTATTCTAAGGCATAAGGCTTGAAGATGAGTGACTCTAATCACTAGAGAAGTGCAATAATAGTCTCTAAATGCACTGGCCAGAAAGGCTTATTGCTATTAGAAAACAGAATCTATACATAAAAATCAAGAAAAACAGACCTGTTCATTTCCTTGGCATTACTGACATGCCAATCAGAAGACTGCATTTCGGTCCAGAACTCTAAAGTAATTTCCTAAATGCATTTATCCCTCGCCTCTGGTGCACAGTAGCTACAAATATATTCTAGCACTCTCCTAAATGCTTGATATATGTTAAAAAAGTGCTCTCATACTTCTGAGATCTATTGTCAGTCATTTCACACCTGTACTGCACAGACACAATATTAAATAACTGCCAGCTCGCCAGCATTCTAAACTGTCAGCTTGATTTCATTACTTATTTGGGAGAAAAAGTGCGCTTTCAAATTTGTTTGGGGGGACTTTGGTGAGCAAAACCTTTTTTCTCCTAGCATAATTTGTTGAAGGCAAATAGGTAGAGTCGAGGCCTGCTGCTGCTGACTCAAAAGCTGACAGTAACTAGGAAATTTGGTGCTTGTTTAGAGTAAAAATTAAATATTAGGAGCTAGATCCTCAGTGGATATAGTTTCCTATTGACTTAATTATAGTCAGCTGTTACTGATTTAAATGGAGCTGTGCCAAATTCAATCAGTTCTGTGAGTCGAATGCCCAAAGCCCATACCCATTTAAGTTATCAGGTTATTGACTGTACTAGGTTTGAAACAGGTCCTAACTGAGCTTCTACGCAATAACAGCTATTTTGTTTGCACATGTTCTCATGATTAAGGATTGTATCTGATAGCTGGTGCACTCAGAAAAAATAGATAGGTGTTCTTGGAAAAATAACAGAGTCAGACGAGTACCCCGAAGTCACCTACTTCAGAACAGGCCCAACAAAGAAAATAACAGAACACCTCTGGATATCACCCACAGTCCCCAGCTTAAACCCCTCCAGAACATCATTTACAATCTACAGCCTATCCTGGAAAACAATCCCTCATTCTCACAGACCTTGGCTGACAGGTCAGTTCTCACTTACAGATAGCTTCCCAACCTGAAGCAAGTGCCAGCAGTCACACCACAAAAACACCCAGGAACCTATCCCTTCACAAACCCTGTTGACAACTTTGTCTGCATATCTACACAAGCAACACCATCAGAGGACCTAGCCACATAGGCCATGCCATCAGGGACTTATCAACCTGCACATCCACTAATGTGATATATGACATCAAGTGCCAGCAGTGCCCCTCTGTCATGTATACTGGCCAATCTGCACAGTCTCTGCACCAAAAGATACATGGACACAAATCAAGCATCAAGAAAGTTATAATACATAAACCTGTAGGGGAACACTTTAACCTCCCTGGACATTCAATAATGGATTTAAAAGTAGCCATTCTTCTACCAGACAAATAAAACAACCCCTCGCCCCCAAAAACAAAACAAAAAATGAAACAAAAAACCCTTTAAAACCTAATTACAAATGGAAACAGCATAACTGCATTTCATTTATAAATTCAATACAATTGGGACCGGATAAAGATTTAAACTAGTTAATTCACTACAAAGGCAATTTCCTCTCTCTCGATAGTCACATCTGCCCATCAGCTGCTGCGAATGAACCACAACCACTGTGACCTCATTAGCCTTGTTAACACTGTTCCTACACTTGATAAATAACTTTTTCTTTTGTTGCATTTATATATAAACCCCTGCCTTTGTAATTTCTACTCCAATTCATTTGATGAAGTGGGTTTTACATATGAAAACTTTATGCCTTAGTAAGTTAGTCTCTAAGGTGCCACAGGACTCGTCATTGTTTTTTCAGACTGGCAATTGCCATTCTTAGCAAAAATGGCTATGGATTGATTTGACATGGAAGCTGCGGGCAAGTCAGGGCAGGAATAAACAAAGTAAAAGGAAGGATGAGGGATGGCAGAAATTATCTAAGGCTAGTAATAAAGAAAAAAATAGTTTAACTCATCTTAGAACTGGGAAAGCTGTGACAAAATGGAGTAGCGGTATAATATGGGTCCAGAGGAATTTGTTACATTACATAACCAAACATTCTGTTTAAGTGAGAGTGTTTATATCAGCTTTCAATTTTTTAATGGCATTAGAAATTTAGGACTAAAAACTACAATTCAGATTTACCAGTACGTTGGTTGCATTGCAATGATTGCAATAGAGTAACACTAGCCTAAACGTGGAGTGACGAATTGGTGACTCAGACCCTTCATTGACACTTTATGCAATACTGTAGTCCATATGGGTACGTCTACACTACAGCGCTAGTTCGAACTAACTTAGTTCGAATTAGTTAATTCGAACTAAGCTAGTTCGAACTAGCGCATCTAGAACTAAAAACTAGTTCGAACTAGCGTTTTGCTAGTTCGAACTAGCGCGTCCACACTGATTGGACGCAGGGGGGCATTTAAGGGCAGCTGAAACCGGTTCTGGCAGGGCATCAGGTCAGCAGTTGCTTTGTGTGGCTGCTGTCTGAGGCTATCTGAGGCTCGTGCTTAAAGGGACCCCCCCTGGACAGCCGGTTCTCAGCTTTTCCTGCTTGCTTGCCAACCTCGCCGAGGGACAGCAAAGCGTCGGTCTCTGTGCCCGTCTGTGTCGGTGCTTCCCTTCGGGGGGGCCGCCGCAGGTGGCAA